GAGTGAAACCTGTTATACTCTTGAAATTAGGATCTATCGAGATAGACCTAATAGAGTGTTAGAGTTTTCACGGTCCACGTGTGTAGTCAAGATACTGAAGTGCTTCTCGATGGGAAATTCTAACAAAATAGAATATTACAATAGTCATGACGTTAAGTTTGCAAAGAAAGATTTCAATTGATGCCAAACTTGGGCGCATGAAGGATCCCATATGCTTATGCAATGGAGTCTATCATGCATGTTATGACACGTACGAGATCTATATAGATTATGCACTTAGTATCACTTGTAGATTCCAATAAAATCCTGGGGAGCTATATTGGAAGACTGTTAAGATTATTCTTTAGTACATTAGATGGACTAAAGAATATATTTTATTCTATGGTAGGAATAATAATTTAATAGTCTTACATTCATTTCAATGATGATGCAGTGAGTTGGAACAGTTCTAAGCAATAAACCACTGCAAATTGAACCGCAAAGGCCAAGTACATTGGTGCATTAAAAACCTATGGAGGCTGTTTGGATACATGAGTTCTTAAATGAACTAGGGGTAGTTTCAAGTGCCATTTATCTAATATCTACATATTATGATAAAACGGTGCGATTGCACGGGAAAAGGAACCAAGATCCAACAACAAAATAAACATGTACAAAGGCGCTACCATTTATTTAGAGATAACTGATAGAGGAGAAATAAGTTAGAACGTGTTCAAACTTAACATTACTTGAATGGTTCGTTCACCAAACCATTGTGCATAGTTGAGCACAATAGTCATTTTAGGAAAATGTGTATTAGATACATTGGTGATTGCCTCTAGTTCAAGTGGGAGATTGCTGGTATATGTGTCTTAGAGACAATCTTTTTGAGGACATATATACATGATCACATTAACAACTATATTAGATTATAATTATGGTATTGCAATTAATTAATTAATTATTTAATTGTTTGTAATTTATTAATTAATTCTCCCTTGAGTTAATTGTTGATACCCAATTTTGGCCTGGCCTATTAAAATATTACACGTGGTAATGTATTATATCAATAATTTTAATTTTGGGCCCTAAAATATTACCACTTGTGATAATATCGGGCCCATTAAACATATATATAAATACCCCGATGATGGACATCATCTAAAAGAGAGGTCAGAGGGGGCGCTTGTATCTTTTCTGATCTATTATCTCTCTCCTGCACCGCTTAAGAAACAGGGAGAGTTATCTTTGTCTTCATCATTGATTTTATACAGCAAAATTCACCAAAAAATCATCACAAAAATCCTATACAAAAAATATACAATAAATTCATGTTGATCAAATTTCGAGCATCAATAGTTTGGCGCTAAAAGGAGGGCACGTAAGTTTTTCGGGGTTAACATTCGCCGAAAAACAGCCACATCTCTGCCGGAAATTCATCATCTTCTAATATGGCAGGTTCATACATATATCTATGGCAACTTTTCTGTTTCCCTGGTTATATTCTTCCAGTTCCTCTGTAACATATGCGTGGGGAGGATGAAAAATTATCCAAACAATCTCAACCCCTTCCTGAAAATATCCATCAAATAGAAATCCTAAAAATTCTTGGTCCATATCCTTCAAACTACAGCAACCAGTTTCATATTTTCCCTTTTGCTGCCAAAATACTTTCAACGCAATCTCACCGCCTCTCAATAAATTTGCAACGTCTGAATCATATAAATATGCCCAAATNCGTAACAAAAAAAAAAAAAAAGAGTTGTAGAAGGTGAGAGAAGAAGGGGATAGCTTGGATAATATTTGACCACGCCGCCTCCTTTGCCCGACTGCCGAGCTGCAAGACAGCCGGGCCAAGCTCAGACCTCTCACAGCCGACCTTCGATTACCCAACCAAGACCCAAAGCCGAGTCCGACTTCGAAGATGGGCCGATTTCAAAACACCGACCTCAATGCACATCGTCGCCGACCTGGGCGACCTGCATCGGCTAACGAAACTCGGTAAGAAAATGGCCGCGACCGACTTCAGTGGCAGAGCCCAAGTTCGGATCTCGAAATCAGGACTGACCCCCGTCGACCCCTAAACCGAGCTGTCGGGCCCGACATCATCGTCGCCGGCCGACATCGCCACAAACCGACGGGACCAACCTCAAAAAAACCGACCTCGCCATTGTCGGACGACCAAAGTCGCAACTCACCAAGATCCGACCTCAATCAATGACCGACTTCAAATGCAATGGTCGACTGATTTCCGAGATCGAACGACTGACTTCACATCTTCAGTTCTCGACTTTCCACTGTCGGAACCGACTTCAATTGCAATGGCCAACCTCAATCTTCGGCGCCAACCAACCTCAATCAACAGCTAGGTCGAGCTCGGATCTATACACCGCAGTAAACCTTCAACTTACCTGTCGAGATCCGACAAAAAATGCGGCCAACCTTCGATTTATATAATCCCTGACTTACATCCGCGGCCGGCCAAGATTTTGCACCCCAGAAACCCGATTTTCCACCATCGCTGGGACCCTATGTATCTGCATCACCACTGACGATTGAGCTCGGCAGCCCAATTTGATGGATTTAGATGAGGTTGGGTGTCGTAGCCCCAATTCTACTCACCCTTCCGTATAAAAAGCCAGCAAGTCAACTATTTCTTTTGGGCTTTGATTATTGGGCCAATAATTATATTAAAAAGGGGCGAGATAAAGCAAGAGAACGGGTTGAAATATTACAACTGAAAGGGGCCAGCAAATTATTTCTAATCTGGTTCGGGCGTTTCCATTTTTAAAGTCGAGCCCACCAAACATAACTGGGCTAATCTCTTCACTGCCCAAATCGAGTCGGCCTAAGCCACACCAAACCGACGTACTCTTTCCCGACTTCAAGTCATCGGAGCTCGGTAACCGTACTGACCGAACTGATGTATTCACCTCTGATTTGCTGCCAGATCTCGGATTTGTTGCCGGAACCGACCTCGTAGCCTCCGATTTTCAAATCGCACCCTGGCTCGTCGTGCTCAATCTTCAAATCGCAACAAGGAGACCCCTCCATTAATCGATCTCCGAAGCTCGACCACTGTTATCGATTTCGTAATCGTTGGGACCTTCAACAACCGACCTCCTAATCTGTCGGCGCTTAAGATTTTTCGTCGCTGAACTTGCGAGAAAAGTGATATGATGAGGTGATTTCCAATTGTTATTTTATTGGGCCTTTGTTCTAAGTTGGCCCAACAACAAAAAACATCAAGAGAAGAAAAGGGGGCTGAGTTCGTTTATTCAAACCGACAATAGTTGGGGCCAAATTCATCTATTCAAATTGACGAGGAGCGGGGCCAAATTCCTTTATTTACACCGACGGCAACCGGGGACGACTTCATTTATCTACGCTCAAGTCGAAGTCACTTATTTATTTGTGATGCCGATATATTTTGCTCGCCGTGAGCCACGTCTCCGGCAGAACAGACGTCCATACATTGACTCGCCATTGAGCCTTGACTCTGGCAGAGCTGATAGCTACATTTTCTCGCCGTTGAGCCTCTACTCCGGTTGAGTTGACATATATATATACCTTGCTGTTAAGCCTCTGCTCCGGCTGAGCCCACACTGGTTAGGCAAAGTTAATAAGACCTTCCCGGCTGGGAAAAATACATAACGCCGTCAAGCCTTTGCTCCGACTAAGAAGGCGTCTATATATACCTCGCTGTTGAGCTCTGCTCCGGTTGAGCCCACACTGGTTAGGCAAAGTCAATAAGACCTTTTTTGCTGGGAAAAATAAAAATAAAAATAAAAATAATTCAGCTAGCTAACTCTCAAAATATAAGTCGGCACGGTAAAAAAAGTCGAATCTCGAAAAATAATTCGGCCAGCCGACTCTCAAAAAATAAAGATGGCATGGCAAAAGCCCAACACATCCAAGTCCTGAAGATGATTTGGTGAGGCTAATGCCCGTCGGAAACAAAAATACCGACGTTCCTTTAAAAATTCAACGAGTAAAATAAAATGCTGAATATTTTAGTCGGAAACAAAAAATACCGACGTTCCTTTAAAATTCAGCGAGTAAAATAAAATGCTGAATATTCTGGTCGGAAACAAAAAAATGCCGACGTTCCTTTAAAAATTCAGCGATATAAATAAAATGCTGAATATACTAGTCGAAAATAAAAGATACCGACGTTCCTTCATACACAATATTCCGGTAAGGCACAATACCTACCGGCAGACAAAGTCAGACTCGACAAAATATCGAGGTAACATCATTTTTCGTGCATTAATCATTTATTGCACGTACTCATCATATATTCATACATTCATACGCGCGTCATACATGCATCTTGACATAAACATAAAAAGTCAAGCCAAAAAAAAATCCTTAAGGACCCACACTGGTGAGGCGCACTGTAAGACCTTGTCGGCGGGGATCATTAAATTCCTTAAGGACCCACACTGGTTAAGCAAAGCCAATAAGACCTTTCCGACTGGGAAAAATACAAAAACAAAATTTTACACCGCTAAAATAAAATAAAATATAATTCGGCTAACCGACGTCGGCACAGTAAAAAAGCTGAATCTCGAAAAATAATTCGGCCAACCGACGTCGGCACAGTAAAAAAAAGCCGAATCTCAAACAATAATTCGGCTAACGCCCTACATATTACATCAAAGATCGGGAACACATTACCCGACCGATGAATAATTTAAAACTAAAAGACTAAAGACCAAATACCAAATTATCCGACCAGGTTCATATTCAGTGTTCGAAAAGTCGGCCTAGGCGGCCGCCTAGGCGCCGCCTAGGCGCTCGGCGCCGGTAAGCCGCCGACGATTTGGGCAAATCGGCCGGGCGGGCTCGGCGGCGCCTAGGCGGGTCTAGGCGGTTCTTGGCGGCCTCGGAGGCTCTAGGCGGTCTACGCGGCTCGGCGAGACTACGGGCGGAGACCGGCGGAAACCGGCGGACAGAGACGGGGGAGACGAACAACCACGGAGGAGGCAGACAGAGACGACCAGAAATCGGCACCAACGTCAAGCATAGAAGGCCGGAGCCAAGACAAAACAGGCGGAGACGGGCTGGACACAAACCAAGACAACCGGAAATGGAAGGAGTCGGGCACAGACGACCGGAGATGTGGGGATAAGGGCGGAGACCGGCGGAAATGTAGCGAGGCGAAGATGAGAAATTGGATATTTGGGGGCTAGGTCACGATTTACTGATTTAGAAATCTGATATTTTTTGGTTAATTAAAATGTTTGGTTAGTTGAGTGGTGACTGAAATCAGATATTTTTTGGTTAATTAAAATGTTTGGTTAGTTGAGTGGTGACTGGTGAGTGAATTTAACCATAGTTGATGGTTGATTGCTTTTTTAAAAACTACACCACAGCTGTCAACTTTAGTGGTGAAATTTTCTCTTTCCAACCACAAATTAAAAATTAAAAATAAGTTAATGAAAGCTACACGTGTCAGTTCTATTGCTTTTAACCATAGTTGATGGTTGATTGCTTTTTTATTCCTTATTCTGTTATTCATTTGTTTTATTGTATTATTATTTCTGTTAATTTAATTAGATGATTAGTTGCTGTGGTTAGTGAAATATGGTGTTTAGTTGGTTGCTATAATTCTATTATGTTGTGTAATGTTTAAAACATAAGATGTAGATAATGTGTTTGATAAAATTACAATGAGAACTTAGTAGAAATTTAAAAGTTTGGGACTTAGGTGTATGAATTTATTAATTATAAGTTATAATTTTATTAGTGAAATTATGAAAATAAATAAAAAATAATATATTTATTATAATTTCTAGGCCCCGCCTAGGCCCCGCCTAGGCCCCGCAGGCGCTAGGCGCTGGTCGGGCGCCTAGCGGGCGCCTAGCGACTTCTAGAACACTGTTCATATTACAAAGAAACCAATCACAAACAAAAAATCGCGCTGTCTCAATAAAATCGCGAATACAGTAACAATTCCGGGGGCCCGAGTGCCCACATAATTCCATACCATTATTACCACATCAAACGCTTCACGTTCCACGCAAAAAAGGCGAAAGACGGGTACCAAATTGCCCGACTAGGCCATCCAGGCCTCATTCAAAATTCCAGAAAAATTTACTATCCACGTCATTGGCTCCATGGGTCGCAAATTACCCGGCCAACATCGATACATCATTTATTGCGGCCAAAATTGATTATACACGCGACTTCAGAACAGTTCTATTTAAAACATGCCCTAAAGTTGGGGGCCTACTGTTGATACCCAATTTTGGCCTGGCCTAATAAAATATTACACGTGGATATGTATTATATCAATTATTTTAATTTTGGGCCGTAAAATAGTACCGCTTGTGATAATATCGGGCCCATTAAACATATATATAAATACCCCGATGATGGACATCATCAAAAAGAGAGGTCTGAGGGGGCGCTTGTATCTTTTCTGATCTATTATCTCTCTCCTGCACCGCTTAAGGAACAGGGAGAGTTATCTTTGTCTTCTTCATTATTTTATACAGCAAAATTCACCAAAAAATCATCACAAAAATCCAATACAAAAAATATACAATAAATTGATCTGAACCCCCCATGTTGATCAAATTTCGAGCATCAACATTAATATTGTCATTAGCAGAGTGATATGTTAATTGATAAAGTATTAACTCTGAAATCGCCTCAATCGATGATCATTAAGAAAGGGATATTTATGATACGTGATAGATTGACATGTGGTCTGCATCACATTCTTAAAAAATATAGTATGTCTCACGACTATGAATAATTGTATTCATGATGGACACATGGATACTTAGGAGAGTATTAGCATACCCTACCGATAAACCATTTGTTTATGTGTCTATGGGAGTATCAGTGTGTGGAATGGTGTAATAGTCCTTTGACTTGAAGTCAATACGTAATTCATGTATAGAGTGATTTACTTAGACCTAGTCCAAAGCTTACGCCCTTATGGGTAGAGACGGGCTTGTGTTGGGTTGGTCACGATATACATGAAATTGGTAGTTGAGCCAAGATAGGATTCATTCCTCGAATATATTTTTGAGAGGACACTCGTTTTCTCTATACTGGGTTGATAAAGTCATTGGCCAATGCACGTGATTATATTTGAAATGGTTTTCAAATATAATTGATAAAATCAACCAGTGAAATGAGATAAAATGATTAAGCTGTTTGGATAGACACACGTTCAAATACTAAGCTTAATCGAATGGTTCGTGAATGAAGGGACCGTATCACTATTGAATTCTACACCAAAGGTTTGTTTGCTTTGTCTATGTAAACATACTTTATATTTTGAGTTCGTCCTTCGACGCAGTCTAGGAGTTTTGTAAGGATCATAAATTAGATTTATGTCAATATATGAAGGCTTATAGGGTCACACAATATGCAATCTATTTTCTGGCTAAGAGTGAATCGAGAGTATTAAATATTCAATTAGATTGGAATATTTATTTTTGAGTAATGAGATTATTTTCTATTAAATAGAAAATATTTAATTAAGTTAAATTAGACTTACACTTAATTAAATCATTAATTGAATTGGGTCCAATTACCTATTGGGCTAGGTTATTGTTGTAGTAATTTTTACCGGGGTAGAATCAAAAGATTCGAACACCGGGTCGTGTCTCGAGGAAGGTCAGCCGGATTATCTTGTACGTGTATTCAATCACAAAAGACAAAATAATCCTAACACTCTAATCAGATTGATTTGGATTGATTTATCAACTACGAATTATAAAGCTAATCCTAGCTATTCAAATCTCACAACTCCGAACACGAGTTCGAATAGTAATAAGGGAGGCTAGGGTATCGGGGATAATCGTTTCCGGTTCTCAAAACATTTAACGGGCAATCAATTACGCGACCAAAGGACTCGAAAAACTAACTCTCTAGAGATTCATTCTCAATATCTCACGAAACAAGAGAATAAGCATAAACGAGCAATTATCGAGCCAATCAGCGCATAAGCAATACGTCACCGAATAAGCCTATTCTAAACGAGCCTAGATCGATTGATTTCTCCCCTTTCGGTTTTAAAATCGATTAATTAGATTGAGATGGTGATCAAGCATCTAAAACCCTAGGTTAAGCACAACTCGAAAAGATTGAGTAATTATCAAGCATGTAAACGAGATCGAACCGGAACGACAATCCCCTAACCCTAGCTAGAGAATTTAGCTACTCATAGTGATCTCAACACAAACATTCATATCAATCAAAACCATAACATTCATGAATGAAGTGAAAATAGAAGCTTACGATTAATACGAAGGTTCAACGTCAAAATCCGAGTGCGAAACGAATTCGAAAATAACAATCTTGGAGTTTTTCACTCTCCAAGATGAATTTCTACCAAAAACTCAGAGAAAAAGTGTTCTGGAGTAAAAAAGGACGAGAAAGTATCAAAACCTCCCAAAAAACATAATGAAAAACAGGTCTAAAAGTCGAACTAAAAATTCTGCTCGTCGCGACCTCCGCGGCCGCAGCAAAGAAAGCTTCGCGGCCGCGACTATCCCCGAGGCCGCGAGATCATCTGGCCAGAAGTAGGACATTTTGGAAACCTCGCGACCGCGACTCCTCCTTCTCCGCGGCCGCGGCGACTGGATTTTGTTCGCCTCTTCACTTTTCGGGCTCGTTTATACTCGTTTGGACTCGGAATTCGATTCCGTTTTTTTCTGCTTGTCGCCAACGAAACCCTCTATTTTATTACGCTTGTACGAACAACTTATGCCAGAAATCCGATCCTCTCGGGACTTCTAACCTGCACACCAACGACGACGAAAAATCGGAAAAATACCGAAAAACACAAGAAAAACTAAAATAAAGCGAACCACGACATAGACTACAAAACGACCTAAAAAACAACTAAAACACCTAAAATGGGGAAAAAGATAAAGACTAAATGACAAAGAAATATGCAACAAAATGGGACAAACAACTCCCCCACACTAAAATCTTTGTTCGTCCCGAACAAAAAGAAAAAAAAAGACCCGAAAACAAGCAAACGAGCATGGATAACAGTTTCAAATAAGACAAGCCTCAAATTAATCAACTTAGCTGAGGAGACTTCCAATGACCAATATAGTACACCTCAATTACAAATCGAATGCAACGCCTTGAAAAGACAAACTCTCAAGCACGGAAGTATAACACATATATGCCTCACTCAGTTTCTTGAATGAATATAAAGTGGGTTCGCTCAAATTGGTCGATCATCATGCATCACATAAACTTGCTTATCATCTATTTGTACTCTAAAACAATCGAAGATCATGAATTTGCAAATCAAGAGGACTTCATGGGTTGTAATGTAGGTATCAAAGGAAGGACAAATAAGAAGAAAAAGTGGCTCAAATAAACAATCACACTTTCGAGCACATAAATACTCGAATATCACACCACCTATTCGTAATCAACAAGAAACTAATCATTCCCACCAAAAACTCCATACACTACTCACACACGCTCAAGCTGAAATGCAAAGTAAGCACTTGACTCTTTTCCTCTTTTTCTTTTCTATTTTATTTTATTTTTTTTAATTACTTGAAGAGTTTGCTTTTTCCTAACAAGACTAAGATATCAGAACGACATTCTCTAGGTTTAAACATTGGAGATCATCCAAGTTTCCTAGAATGGTTTCCCAATACTCATTACTCGTAAAAAAATTTCGACAAGTAAGCGGAGTAGAATCCTTTAATCCGTCTTGCGAGTCTCTTTTTTTATTTTTTTTGTCAGGCACCCAAAATGCAACTCAAGCAAGTTCTCAACCTTCTCCAAACATCTATTAGAAAGCTCCGTCATCATATCAAGTACACTGTCAAATCTCAAATAATTCAATCGAATCGGTTGACAAGAAATAAGGTTTCAGGCTCAACGGGCTACTAATGAAAATATAAGTACCAGGTCAATGAAAAAGGCTGAAACGAGCTATGTCAAAGAAATGCCTCAATCATTTTCACAAATCACAACTTCAATCACTTCATTTCAGAACAACCTCAAAGCAAGATCTGATCAACACAATTTCGACCAATGACTCAAGAAACAACATAAGGCTCAAACCTCGCAAAGGGTAAATAAATGTCCAACAAAACGACACATTGAGTTCATCAAGGCAAACTAGTCATGGTCATCATCACATCTCCTCAACATCATCAACAAACATCAACAAGTCTTAAAATTCACCATAATCCATACTCGCAAAACAAACAAACTGACTCAAGATAGGACACTAAAATAAAACAAAAAATGAAAGCAACCTAAAAGACCTAGACCTGATCCATCACATAATCACATAAGCATGCAAAACTCCCCCACACTTAAAACTAGACGATGTCCCCATTGTCGAGTCGCGGTGAAGGAGAGTTAGACCATAGAATAAACTAGCACAAAAACAAAGAAGCTATACACAAATAAAAAGAGAAAGGGAAAAAGAGAACATACAAAGCACAATGACAAGTCACTGTGCATCCGGAGGTGATGGTGGCTGGTGAGGTTGACTGGGACCCGAACCCCAACGGGCGTCCCACTGAGTGAATCTCTGGTCCCAACTGTTCATCCGAGCGTCCTACTGGTCCTGTCGCTCGCGAATGGACTGTAGACCGCCAGCGAAGCTATCGAAGTGCGTACCCATCTGAGTCCAGTGGGTCTGCTGTTGGGTCTCTCAATGGTCCCACCGAGTCTTCTGCTGGGTCTCCCAGCTGGTCCACTGCGTGGTCCGTTGGCTTTCGAGAGCATCCATCTGCTGTCCTGGGCATCGAAGCGATCGTGGATAGAGCGGATGTCGGCTGTATACTGAGTCTGAAATGTGGACCACCATTCCGGTGGCTGCTGTGGAGGGATCTCAGGGTGTGGGTTCGGGGTCGGCGTCCACGCGGGTGGAGGCGGAAGGAAATGGTCATCGTCGACATTCATCTGCTCATGCTCGTCTCCTGCCGTCGGTTGCCGAGACGACCCTGCCGGATCGGAATTAGGCTGACCCTGCTGGAGCTTTTTAAAATAGGTGTCGTAGGCGGCGCGCTTTGTATACTCCTTAGCTGTTGTCCGATTCCGAATAAGGTCGGCCTGCTTGAGCTCATTATAGTTGAGACATCGCATCTCAGACCTCTCTTGAAGCGCTATCTCTCCATGTAATCTATAGGCTTCTGGAGTGATGTCGTAGTGGTACGCGAGTGCGGTAACAAAATGCCCAAGTGCCGGTAATCCACGCCGAGTGAGGGCAATCTCCTGTAAGGAGTTCTGTAGGAAGGTCATAGAACACACTCGCACCCCTGCCCGCATCGCCCATAGGAGAAAAAGTTCGACCTCACTGACTTTATTCGCCTCCTTTTTGCCGAAAATATTGTAGTAGATGAACCGATGCACAATGGCAGTGGCCAGGTCTTGGATAAGCCCGTTGGACATTCCAGCGGAATCCCAAGTCGTATGTGGGGAAAGCTCGGCCCAACTCTTCTTGGTGTCGAAATCGATGGCCTTGCTTCTCGTACCGGCCATGGTGAACCCGCAAACTTTCTTCATCACGGCATTGTCCACCATGAGATCCTTCTCTTTAAGCCAACAAGTGAAATATTCATTCCCATCAGTGAGAACGAATGTGCTAAAGAACTCAAGCATAAGGATTAGATGCGACATCTCCTCAATCTTGGCATAGTCGGTTAAGTTTAAGACTTTGAGGTACTTCATCACGTCCTCCAGAATGCCCAAGTCGTTCAAGAGGTCCCAATCTACCGCCTTCGGTCTCACTACTTCTTTTTGCGAGAGATAGGCATAAACTTCGCCCTCCTTCCTAGAATAAATCGGGAACGGAGCACCGTATTGGTCCGAAAGGTCATCTCGGTCACCTTCCGGAGGGGCATCTCGAGAGGAGGATTCGCCGGCCTTGCGCTTCTTAGCCGGTTTTTGAGTGTTGTTCTTCTTAGTGGGACGCATCGGATTCTTGCTCATTTGAATGGTCTATCGGGCAATATGTCGAACACGTGGCGAGTGGTGTTGAGACTTAAGAATGTGTGAACAATTTGAGCAGGAACGAACTCGGAGTAGGACTCCTCTTGCCACAACAATCAACCAATATCAGGTATAGAAAGCTATCGGTACCTTTTCGTGCTAATTCAGGCCCGAAACGGACAATCCACGAGCTAGGTATGAATAACAAATGTGGACGGAATGTGAACCGTTGGGACTCGTGGTCAGAGGTCGCCTGATGACTGAGGAAGGGACGGCCGGAGAGACTCGCCGGAGAGACGACGGGGACGGTGGCAAGCTTGGGTTGCGAGGAGAACTAGGGATCCCGAACTCAAACTTGAACGAGCCCGTAAAAGTTCTTGCAAAAATCGCGAATGAAAACCTATGATTGGGAAGTCCACTTTCCGAAATAATTCAGGGATTGATAAGAGATTGAAGTTGGAGAGTGAATTTTGTGACCGCCGTTCGAAGATGAAGAGAGGTGAAAGTGTGCGTTCAATCTGCAGGCAAAGGATTTAAAACGTGACGTCGCGGTCGCCGCGGCCGCGACATCCCCCGCGGCCGCGGGATTTTATGTGCAGAAATTGGGAAATGGCGAACGAAACAGCGTCGCGGCCACGGCAAAGAAATGTCTCGCGGCCGCGTGAATACACCGAGGTCGCGAGATTTCTACTGCAGGTATTGGTATCAATATATTAGTATTTGTATAGAATAAAATAGGATGAAATATACAGCAGTACAAAGGATACTCGGTTTATTGCCTGGAGCACGGCACACTTCCACGATCACGCATAAGCTGGGTCGTCGAGACTGACTGTCTCGACATGTGGCTTCCCGAATTCTCCTTCAAAGTACGGCTTCACCCGCTGTCCATTGACTACAAACGTGTCATCATTCGCCGGATTTCGGAGTCGGACAGCTCCAAAAGATAACACTTCATCGACAAGGTATGGTCCACTCCATCTTGACTTGAGCTTTCCCGGAAAGAGACGAAGTCGGGAGTTGAATAAGAGAACTTTCATACCGGACACTAGGTTCTTCCAGACAATGGTCGAGTCGTGAAGCTTCTTGACCTTGTTCTTGTAAATTTTGGAGTTCTCGTAAGCTTCGTTCCTCAACTCCTCAAGTTCTGACAATTGCCACATCCGCTCACGTCCGGCTGCATCAAGGTTGAGATTCATACGCTTAATTGCCCAAAAAGCTTTGTGCTCGATCTCGACCGGAAGGTGGCACGCCTTCCCGTAGACGAGCCAGAATGGGCTCATCCCCAAGACTCCCTTGTAAGCTGTGCGTTGGGCCCATAGTGCATCATCAAGACGACTGGACCAATCTTTCCTGGACGAGTTCACCGTCTTCTCAAGGATAGTCTTGATTTGCTTGTTGCTCGTCTCTGCTTGGCCTGAAGTTTGCGGATGGTATGGAGTGGCCACTTTGTGTGAAATCCCGTATTTCTTCATTAGTTTCTCAAAAACCCGGTTGCAGAAGTGTTTGCCTCCATCGCTCACTATGGCTCGTGGAAATCCAAATCTGCTCAAAATATTACCTTGCAAAAACTTGATAACCACATTAGCATCACACGTCCTTGTGGGGATAGCCTCAACCCACTTGGACACGTAATCTACAGCAAGAAGAATATAATCAAAACCAAAAGATTTGGGAAATGGTCCCATAAAGTCAATGCCCCATACATCAAATATTTCCACTTGCAAATTATTCACAAGGGGCATCTCATTCCTTCGGCCTATATTTTCAATCCTTTGACAGCGGTCACAGGATTTGCAAAAATTATGAGCATCTTTAAAGAGAGAAGGCCAAAATAAACCTGATTGGAGAACCTTAAAGGCGGTCTTTCGACCTCCAAAGTGTCCTCCACAATAAAGCTCGTGGCAAAAGGCAAGGACATCCAGTTGCTCTTCTTCGGGCACACACCTCCGAAGGATTTCATCCTTTCCCACCTTGAAAAGAAATGGGTCGTCCCAAAAGTAACTCATGCACATCAACACAAAACGCTTCTTCTCTTGGGAAGAGAGATTAGACAACAGGACTCCATCTGATAAATAATTGACAATGTCTGCATACCAAGGAACACTACCTACTTCACTCACATGCTCATATGGGAAGCTATCATTTATGTCAACATGCTCATGCAAAGTAAGTGAATGATCAGTAGGGACAATGCGAGAAAGATGATCAACAACCACATTTTCACAACCTTTTCTATCACGAATTTCTACATCAAACTCTTGCAACAATAGTATCCACCGAATGAGTCTAGGTTTCGATTGAGTCTTACTCAAGAGATACCTAAGAGCCGCATGATCAGAGAACAATCACTTTAGATCCTAGAATGTAAGATCTAAACTTTTCTAAAGAAAAAATAACAGCCAAAAGCTCTTTCTCAGTGGTGGTATAGTTCAATTGGGCGCCATTAAGAGTCAAACTAGCATAATAAATTACACGAAGTAACTTATCAACTCGTTGACCCAAGACGGCCCCAACAGCAAGGTTCGAAGCATCACACATAATCTCAAAAGGCAACGACCAATTAGGAGCAATAACAATAGGTGCTGTCACAAGCTTATTTTTCAATTTATCAAAAGCATCTACACATGCATCATTAAACACAAAAGGCACATCATTGGCAAGCAAGTGACACAAAGGCTGGCTAATTTTTGAAAAATCCTTTATAAACCTCCTATAGAAACCAGCATGACCCAAAAAGCTTCTAACCCCTTTCACATTCACAGGAGGGGGTAATTTTTCAATCACGTCAATTTTTGCTTTGTCGACCACAATACCACGATTCGACACCACATGACCTAACACAACCCCACTAGTCACCATAAAATGACTCTTCTCCCAACTCAAGGTCAAATTAGACTCAATACACCTTTCAAGCACACGAGATAAATTATGGAGACAATCAGAAAATGAAGTACCGAAAATAGAGAAGTCATCCATAAATACCTGTAGGCAGTCCTCGAGCATATCTGAGAAGATGGAGAACATGCACCTTTGGAAGGTTCCTGGTGCATTGCATAGGCCGAATGGCATCCGCCTGAAAGCAAAGGTGCCGAATGGGCACGTGAAGGTCGTCTTAGACTGGTCCTCGGGCGCTATGGCTACTTGGTAGTAGCCGGAGAGTCCGTCTAAGAAGCAGTAGAACTGATGGCCCGAGAGACGGTCGAGAATTTGATCGATGAAGGGTAACGGGAAGTGATCCTTCTTTGTCCCCGGCAACGACGCCATTTTATTGTAGTAATTTTTACCGGGGTAGAATCAAAAGATTCGAACACCGGGTCGTGTCTCGAGGAAGGTCAGCCGGATTATCTTGTACGTGTATTCAATCACAAAAGAGAAAATAATCCTAACACTCTAATCAGATTGATTTGGATTGATTTATCAACTACGAATTATAAAGCTAATCCTAGCTATTCAAATCTCACAACTCCGAACACGAGTTCGAATAGTAATAAGGGAGGCTAGGGTATCGGGGATAATCGTTTCCGGTTCTCAAAACATTTAACGGGCAATCAATTACGCGACCAAAGGACTCGAAAAACTAACTCCTCTAGAGATTCATTCTCAATATCTCACGAAACAAGAGAATAAGCATAAACGAGCAATTATCGAGCCAATCAGCGCATAGGCAATACGTCACCGAACAAGCCTATTCTAAACGAGCCTAGATCGATCCATTTCTCCCCTTTCGATTTTAAAATCGATTAATTAGATTGAGATGGTGATCAAGCATCTAAAACCCTAGGTTAAGCACAACTCGAAAAGATTGAGTAATTATCAAGCATGTAAACGAGATCGAACCGGAACGCAATCCCCTAACCCTAGCTAGAGAATTTAGCTACTCATAGTGATCTCAACACAAAAATTCATATCAATCAAAACCATAACATTCATGAATGACATGAAAATAGAAGCTTACGATTAATACGATGGTTCAACGTCAAAATCCGAGTGCGAAACGAATCCGTAAATAACAATCTTGGAGTTTTTCACTCTCCAAGATGAATTTCTACCAAAAACTCAGAGAAAAAGTGTTCTGGAGTGAAAAAGGACGAGAAAGTATCAAAACCTCCCAAAAAACATAATGAAAAACAGGTCTAAAAGTCGAACTAAAAATTCTGCTCGTCGCGACCTCCGCGGCCGCGGCGAAGAAAGCTTCGCGGCCGCGACCATCCCCGAGGCCGCAAGATCATCTGGCCAGAAGTGAGACATTTTGGGGCCCTCGCGGCCGCGACTCCTCCTTCTCCGCGGCCGCGGCGACTAGATTTTGTTCGCCTCTTCACTTTTCGGGCTCGTTTATACTCGTTTGGACTCGAAATTCGATTCCGTTTTTTTTCTGCTTGTCGCCAATGAAACCCTCTATTTTATTACGCTTGTACGACCAACTTATGCCAGAAATCCGATCCTCTCGGGACTTCTAACCTGCACACCAACGACGACGAAAAACCGGGAAAATACCGAAAAACACAAGAAAAACTAAAATAAAGCGAACCACGGCATAGACTACAAAACGACCTAAAAAACAACTAAAACACCTAAAATGGGAAAAAAGA